TCCTCCATGCTGGGGGCAGTGGAGGAGGGGGAAGCACCACGCTGGCTCCATAGAAGCAAGTGGCTATCAGACATCCTTACACCTGCCTGAGCATCCCACCCAGAGCCACACGTGCCTTTCCCAAAGTCAAGGCTGGGGGTGCATTTCAAGCCTACAGACCCCCACTCCCCAGGTTCCTTGTCAGCCCCCAGCTTTGCCTCCACTGCACCCCTGACATGGCACATCTGCTCCCATGCACTGGATCTCCCCTGTCCTGAAGGTCTGGCCTTGGCCCTCTCACTTGCCACTTGGACTTTTGTTTGCCCATTGATCACAAGCCAAACACATTTATTCAGCACCACTGTTTACCAAGGGTATTGTAGTCAAGGGAGGATATAGGAAAAAAACATTGTGGTTAATGGTGACAGAGACCTTTTCTAAACAAGTAAAATTCACAAGTGCTTTGGGGACAGAAATGGTGAGGGCAGCCATCATCTGTGGGGCAGGGCAGTTTTGCAAGCCTGAGAACAAGAGGCCCGAGCTCCAGGCAGATGGGAGATAGCCGGTGCAAGCACCTGGTAAGAACAATGGGGTGAGATGGAGGGGGACAGGGTCTGAAGGTGGACCCAGAAGTGGGCTCTGGGTATAGAGAGGGTCCGTGGAGCCAGACCTGCTGCTGAGAGAGCTGTGGCATGGTGAGTGCTGAGCCTGGGCTCCTGGCAGACATGATGGGGACCGCTGTGGAGAAGCTCATGCTTTGAGGGTACCTAGACTTGGGTCTCCTTGCACATGGGGTATCCCCCCACATCAGACCCCCTACTCTTCTTTTCCCTCTGGCCCACCTACCCACTGTGCCAGCTGGCCAAGTCTCTCACTAAGTGAGGTTCTTCAAGGCTCCCACCACTACTCTTAAACCTGATGCTACTAGAGGAAGCCGAATTCTCGCTAAATTCTTTCTTTAGGGGTCAGACCATTGAAAAGGGACTTGGCATATGAAGTATTCTTTCTCACTGTATTTCTTTTCAAAAATCTCCTGTCCCCACAGCCCATCTGAGATCCTGCTCTGAAAAGCCTCCTTTATGGAGTATGTCATTTTATGAAAGTGGGGTCCGCTCTCTAGCTCGAATGCCAGGTCTCTACTTAGTGGCTGTGTGGCCATGAGTAAAATTCTGACCCTCTCTGATCCTCTGATAACGGTGCTTACTTTAGATAGACTGAATGCATTTGTATGAACTTGGCATTCAGCTGCTGCTGTAGAGACTTAACTCATGCTAGTAACTCCATACCTCTCTCAACGGGTCCATCATTGCCCCACAGAGGCCGTGATGCCCCACCCACTGGGCAAGTGACATTATTCCTCTAGTGAGGAGGAGGATGGAGGCAGGATGGAGACAGTCTAGGATTTGGGGCAGGGGTGTGGTGCAGTGTCAACCCTGTCAACCCTGTACAGGAAAACATCCACGGAACTAGAGCAGGTAAGAGTACTTGTTCTTGCAAAGCACCCAGCACATACACAGTAGCTCAGAATTGTCCATAATTCTAATTCTAAGGGGCCCAGCACCCTCTCTAACCTCTAAGGGTACCAGGTACACATATGATGCACAGATAGACATGCAACAAAAATACTCATAAAGTAAATCTTTAAACCTTGACAAAGAAAACAGCCATGAGTACAGGACTTTCCAAGCTGGGCAGGGGTCTCCTGCTCCATGCACACCCACGGTGGTCTAGGTAGCCCCCCACCCACTTAGACATTCTATCCACAACCCTACCCAGGGCACCAGGTGTCAGGAGACCTCACGACCCTGCTACAGGGGTGGAGGAAGACCCATAGAGCAAACTTCTTTAGGGAAGCCATGGTAGTCACAAGTGGCTCCGTGGGCTTTTGTTGCAGTTGGAGAAACTAAGGCACACCAGAGACAGCCATGTCTGTTGATAGTTGTGAGGGGCCTGAAGGTCTTCAAGCCAAGTTGGTGCCCAGGTGGCTTTGCAGCTCCCTTACCCGGGCTTTGAGGGACTTGCCACCCAGGGGACATTTGGGAGCCCCTGAGGAGATACTGTTGACATTGAGGCTCACCTTGAAGCCATCCATCTATTGTCCTATCCTGAATGCTGACCCTGACTTAGGGTGGGGGACAGCCTGTGGGGGGGGCAGCCTGTTGGGGGAGACAGCCTTGAGAGGGACAGCCTGTGGGGCAGGGGAGAGATAAGAGGGTCAGGGAGGAGAGACAGAAACCCAATGAAGCAGGGGGCTGTAGATGCTCCCGAGGCCTGTGTAGCTCCTCTGCCTAGCCTCCGCCAGGCTCCCATTCTGACTCTACCCCCGCCCCAGGATGGCCCCAAACACAGCACTTCCAGCTTGCCAATGAGGGGTACCCCTGAAACCTGTGCCTTTTCCTCACTGATTGAGGCCCCACACCACTTCCAGACCCCAGCACAGTTACAGCCCATCCCAAGATGTAACTCCTTCTTTCCTTTGCCCCAACCCTAGCATAGCTTGGTGGCCTCTCTAACACAGTGTGACTGATTCAAGACTACAGTCCGAGGCAGGGAGAGCAGCATTGAGGGGCACAGGAAGAAGGGGGCTCATTCTGTAGGCAGGGCCTGTGGGAGGGTGGGAAATGTCTAGGAATCTTCAGACACGAGAAAGGCTGTCTGTCCAGAGCATCCCATGAGCCCTGCAGACAGGTGAGGCAGTATGATGGAGACACCTGGACTCAGATTCACTGGGGACCGTGCAGCCCACAATATTTGCTACTGGGGATTGTTGTGAGTGTGTGCACCCCAGGGGAGGAAAGCGGCTGCTGAAAGGGAGCACCCTCAAAGGATGCTGGGAAGGAGTGGCCAGTCAGCCAGATGCCAGGTGAGGGACAAGACGGGAATGGCAGGCGCCATTCAAGGGTGGGAACATAGAGACAGACAAATCAGGGACAGACTGCGTTTCTGCATTTCCGGCAGCAGAACGGGCAGTGCCTGGAGATCAGAGAAGGTGGTTACTGAAGTGTGAAAAGAAGCCACCTACTGGACTGCTGAAGGGAATGATCTAGAAGGGGGGGGGGGGCTCACTGATTCAGAAAGAAGGGATTTGCTGGAGCTGACAGAGAGCAGGCAATAGCCCAGAGGGTTGTCCCAGGCATAGAGGACAGGTGTCAGGCAGATGTGGGAGGCACATGAGGGTGACATCTGTGGAGGTTCCCTTGGACAGCCTCCCGTGCTCCATGCTGTAGGTGGTGGGAACAGGATGAGGAGGGTAGGGTAGAGACAGGAGTCCAAGTCAATCCATCTTTAGGGACTGAGTCCCAGTGGGAACCTCCTGTCCTTTGGGAGAGGGGGCGCCTGGAAAGCCTGGAAGAGGAGTACAGGAACAGAGAAGGGGTATGTCCCTGGGGGTGGGGTTTGTGTGTACCCCAGACCCTATGACTCTGTAGCTGCCCTGGGCATCTAGCTCTCCCACCCCAAGGGCTCTCCAGGTCACGGTGCCCGGCTCTCTGCACATAGCTCTCTTGGCAGAGGAGGGTGGTGGGGCAGAGCTGCAGCTGCCTGATAAGATGAGGTGAGGAGCCGATTTTTCCTGCTGTAGCTCCTGGCTGCTGCCCCAAGAGAAAGGAGTGACAGAGGGACGTTGTCAGCCTGAACTGCTTAGCCATGGGCTCTAGGGGTAGAATCAGGGCAGGTGCCCAGTGTAGATACCTGTGTTCCCTAGTGGCAACCCCCTTCCAGAAAGACCCCTGCTGTGGCCACAGGACCATATGTATGGTCCTGTTCTCTAGCACATGCCAATGGGAAGTCACAGAGGCAGGCACAGCCTTTCTGCAGGGGCTGTTTTGTGACACCTTAGTGACCATGATGGCAGCACAATGCTGAGACTTAGGTTAGCATCTAGTCTCTCCACTGAGGGAGGAAAGACAGCAAAGCTGAGCCCAGCCAAGCCCTGGGACCTGGACAGGCCTGACTTTACCCATGTTGCACCTGTTTTCTCCCAACTGGAAAGTGGGGGTGGGGAAAGATCTGAGACGATGATGAAAAAGATGGATGGGGGCACTTGGCAAGCAGGAGTGTTGAGTTTGCTGTTCATGGCTCACCTGCCCTTGGGGGAGGGCAGCCACAGGCATGAAGGGTAGAACCATCCAGGCATGACCAAGGCGCAACAGACTCTAAAGATGCACAGAAATATAGCTACCAGGCATAATGCAGCACAGATCAGAGCCCCTGAGGGTGCCACCAGCAGGAGACGCTCTGCCCAGAAGCCCGAGGAGGTAGGTTGCTCCGGCTGGTCCGTGGAAGGAGCGGCGGCCTTACAGCCTTCACAGGGAGACTGGGGAGATCCTGCACAGGATAGAGCTGTTTCTACCACTGGTCACGTGGTTCTCGGGGAACTAGTCCAAGGCTCAGGAGAGGACAGTGTTAGTAGGTAGAGGTAGCTTTGGCAACAGCTTTGAAGATGAGCATGCTAGGCTAGTTGAGAAGATGAACTCTCATGCCTGACCTTGCTCCTGCAGCATCAGACTGCCATGTACCCCTCAGCCTGGCTGGGTGCTGATATCTGAGATAGCCCCATAGGCTTAGTGGGCAGGGGACCAGCCAGGTCACCACACCTGTCCACTCAGTACTAAGACTAAGTGGGTTGCCAGAGGAGGTGGTGTGTAAGGGGAGGCCCTCCTGAGGGAATATCCCAGGCCCTGAGGAGGCAAGAGAGCCATCAGGAGCTCCCAGGCTAACACAGGCAGAAGCTGGGGAAAATGGTGGCCCAAGAGGTGCGAATCTGGGCATTGAGGCTGGGTACAGGGGCCAGGACAGGGTGTAGTCTGCTAAGGGTTAGAAGTGAGCCATCCAGTTGCCGGAAGAGCTTGGAGTTGGGATGCCAGGGTGGCCATGTAGGAGACCTGTGCACCCTTGCAATCAAAAGTAGATAGATTGGCAACTTGGTCATTCAGGGGAGCAGTTGTTGCCCTGCATGGAGAGAGAGCCCGCTGGTCCTTCAGGTGGGGAAGGGTTAACCTGGGGCAGGCAGAGCAAGATCCTGGCAGAGGGGACATGGGGACAAAGTCACCAAGATGAGAAAGTGCTTGCAGCAGGTGAAGAATGACTAGCAATTTGGCGTTGTTGGAGCATGACTGCTGGGGCCAAGCTGAGCGGTGCTGGAGAGCAAGCCAGGCTGAGCCTAGGCATTCCGCAAGGCCCCATGGAGTGTCAGTGACACTGAGCCAGATCAACCCGGTCCCGCCCCATCACCATGTGGGCTGGCAGGCAGTCACCAGGCAAACATGAGTATGAGTCCCATGCAGACAGGTGGCCCCAGAGGCAGGAGAGGTGTCAAGCTGAGCTTCCCAAGAAAAGGGGGCCAGTGTGAGGGACAGCATGGCAGAGAGGAGCAATGGCAGTGGTTGATGAGACTGAGGAAGGCAGGCAGAGGGAAGGGGTGGCCTGGCTAGCTCAAAAGCCCTCCGCTGTGCATGCATAGAGTCTGCAGGTGGGCCTGGAACCTTCTTTCTTGCCCGGGCATGCTGGAGCGAGCACAGGCAGCCTCCAGGCTCCACAGGTGGCAGTGGTTGTCTGTTAAGATGAGTAGTGACGGCCCCCTGCTTGTTTGCTGTGAGAGGAAGGCTGTGGTCTATGTCTGCTGTTCCCTCAGTTTCCTGTGCTTTCTCTACCTTCAAGGACTCTTGCTGGTCCCCTGGGTCCTCAGAGCTTGTTTGGTGGCATTTTCTGGGAGAGGAAGACAGACACATGTATCAACAGATTCCCTCCATAGGAGAAAGGGTTGCTTCCATGCTTAGGAAGAAGGAAATGGGCTCCAGGCAAGCTGGGAAGTAGCGCATGACAGGGCTCCACCCTGTCTCTTCCTGAGAGGCACCCAGTGCCAGGCCCCGGGGGCTCATTGATCAGAGTAGGGTAGTCATTTGCTCTGCTGGTGGTGCGCCCATCTTCTCTCGTGAATGGACGCGAGAAGGGAGTAATCCACTAGTCCACATCTCAGCTCTGAGATTTGCCTCAGATTTGGGGTCTAGTACACCCTCCCTGGAGCCCACTTCCCTCATGTCTGGGAGATAGTCCTATACCACATGCCTCACTGACAGTCTCCAAGTGTTACCTGGCTCAGAACAAATCAGACATTCAGTGGTGCTTGATAAAATGCCCTGTCAGTGACCGGAATCAGACCCCAGGTACATCCAGCCGTCCCCCAGACCCAGTCTCCCTTTGGGTTTCAGACTTCATCTAGGGCTGAGGTCCCCAAGCTATTAAGTGGAGACTTGTCGGCAAGGGCTTCGAGGACAATGGGGCCACTGCTGGCCTTGTCCAAAGCAGGGAGAGAGACAGCCCAGCCTGTTCCACCCTCTACAGCCTTAGGATAGCTACCATGTGGAGGGCTGAAAACCCCCACCCTCCACCTCCCAACCCCCAACCCATCACTGATGCTTATGGGAACTTTTTCCCAGTGACAAAATTTAATCCTAAGTAAATTTTTTCCTTTTGATATTTTATCTGTAGAAAAGATGACAAATCCAGAAAAGTACACATTTTTTCAATTACCCAGCATTCCACCACCCAGGCGTAACAAATGAACATTTCTCTTCTTCTGTGATGGTCTGTGCAGCGAGTCTTTTAAATGGTATTACGCAGCTCTCAGCACATCTGCCTCATCCTGAAACCCGCCTAGTTTCCAGGCCAGCCAGGAGCTCTTGCGGGTGTTACTGGCCCACCTCAGTGACTGCTTGACAGTATCTCAGCTCTGAGCATGCCTGCACATGTGTCCTCCCGAGTCCATGTGTCAGGCCTGACCACAAGAGCTCCAGGGAGGCCGTGGCCCTATGGCAGGCACACACGTGGTACTGTCCTCCCGCAGGGCGGCGCCAGAGCAGGGCTAAGGCAGGTCTCTGTCCTTTATTATACCACACACTGTCCAGCCCACCCCCAGCCACAGGCAGGGGTGGATGAGCAGGGTCCCAGCAGAGCATAAAGAGACTCTCAGCATCGCAGGCCTCACAGCCTACAGATCAGTCATGTAGGTCTCTGTACATCAACCAATGTCGCCTCCCGGCAGACAGGACCCACCTTCTTGCTCCTCTGACCAGAAAGCCATGTACACCAAGGGCAGGGTCTACCAGAAATGCAGCCCCAGGTCAGGACATGCACTTGACAGATCCACAGTTGGGGGGGGGGTGTCTCCCTACAGCATACCTAAGGCTAAGGTAGAACATGCAGGCCTGTGGGTGGGAACAGAACCTCCAAAATAAACCCAACCAGTGACCAAGGAACCCTACCATAGTGGGACTGAGGGCCACCAAAGAGCTCAGAGCCTCTGGAGCTACCAGCAAGGGCTCTCAGATGCACAGCTGCTCCTCAACAATCTTCCCCTCTTGGCCTCAGCCGGGGGCTGCAGCCCTACCCTGAGCCCCCATATGTTCCAAGCAGCTCTGTCCTCTTCACCCACAGGCTGCACACCCCCTGGGTGCCCTTGTGCCTCGAGCAGCCCCGAGTCCAGCAGGGCTGCCTCGCTAAGTCCTCACCCTCACTCTGGGACAGGTAGGGCACCTGTCGTCTCCTCCTCTGCACCCTTGCTCCTTGGTGCCTCTTTGCCTGTTCCAGGACTTATGTCCCATGTCTGCATCCTGGGACAGACTCAGGGTCTCTTGGCTCACAATACATTGTCCCTATAGCCCAGCTCCATTCTGAACTCCTGTAAGTGGCAGAGAAGCCTTGAGCCATGGGGTCGGCTCTCTAATGCCTACCTAGGCTTCCAGTGGAAGACAGGACTCAAGACAGCGCTCTGCAGCTGCGCCTCACTTGCCAGGGTCCTCAGCCTCACTGCTGGGGCGGGTGGGGCTCCGGCTGCTCAGTTCCTTGGCCCCCCTCTTCCCTGTGCAATGTTAAGGGACTGTTTCCATAGCTCCTCTTGACGCCTTGACGGACTGTAGTCTGTGGACTGAAATAACACCTCCCCACAGAAGAGAAGAAGCTGTTGCTGTGTCTGGGTGCCAGGATACACTGACCAGGCTGTGTCACCTATCTAGCTATCGCCTTACCCCTTAGGAGTTCAGGAGTCTACAGCTGACCCTAGCAGCTCCCACACAGCCACACCTCCCACACTGTCCCATTGTGTCAGGTGGCTCTCATACCCAGCATAGGTGCAAGCGACAGCCGTGTTCCTTGTATGTGGATATACTGTTCTGCTGTATGGGTGTGGAAACTGAGGCCCTGGGAGGAATCCAGTTAGTCTGTTGGAGGAAAGGACACTGGACAGAGATATTGGCAACACCCAGGGTCCTCTCTCCAAAGCTTCTGACCCCAGGTTGTGACCAGGTGTGAGGGAGGGGCTGCCATGGCCCTCTCTAGGTTGTAGGGTTCAGGGGCAGGCTGGAAGCAATGGGACACAGACCGGCAGGTGGGGCCCACAAAGGTGGCTGGTGTGGGAATGAGTCTCAACCATGACCCAAGGTGCAGTGGGAGGCCAGGCCAGGCAAAGTCCTTCGGGTGGAACAGCACCAGACACAAGGAGGACACAAAGGGGAACACCCCCAACAATGACTAGGAACTGAGCATGTGTGTTTGGGTGATGTAATCCCTGGAGCAAGCAGACTGGGTGGAGATCCAGAGGCTCGGGCTCTGTTGACCAACAACTGTCCTGGAAAGGTAGGTGGCTGTGATGGCTGAGAGGAGCATGGGCAGGAAGGGCTGGCAGGCCAGCGAGTCGCCCTTTGTCTGGAAGACTGCCGGATGGCCCAGGTAAATGAAGGCTCTGTGGAGCAATGCGCCTTGGTGGGTCCCAGCCCTGCACCGAATGTGTCATGGAGCTCCTGTCCTATTCCTATAGGTTCCCAAGGCAGGGCAGAGGGATACAGAAGCGAGTCTGACTTGGGCTTGCCAGTGTGGGCAGGGTCCAGGTGGCTGTAGGCATGTGGGACCGGCTGCCTCACAGACCCTAGAGAGGGACAAGGCCGAATGCAAAGGCCTAGGGTGCACAGGTACAGCTTCCCAGAACTCTGCCTGGAGGCCGGAGGGGGTGAGGAGTCACGCTAAGGGGGCCACTCCAGCAGATGGACAATACTCTCCCCTCTTCCCGAGGGCACAGGAGCCCCTGGCAAGGACCTCCCAATCTCAAGAGCTGTCGCCCGAAGTGGGTACTCAAGGAAGCTCACCACCCCATGAGGGAAGAGGGGCCTGAGTAGCAACTGCCTGCAGTGGGCTGGTGCAGCTGGGGGCTGCCTGGAGGAGAGCGGTATAGAGACGGCTGGGAGGGGCAGCAGAACACCTGGCAGCTGGGCCTGCGTGCGCAGCGAGGCCTTGCCTTTGGGTTTCCCTCTCTACTTTGGATTCTCTTTTGGGGACTGAGTCTCAGGAGGACCTGCCCCCTTTCCTTAGGCCTGGGCAGGAATCCAGGGATTCTTAATGGAGGTGGCTGGTAGTGTGCCTGTGGCATATGTGGCTTACTCAGAGCTGAGGGCTCTTCTGATGATGCCGGCCTGCCTTCCACACCCCACACTGGGTTTTAAGTCCGGGGGTCCCTAGAAAGTCCCACAGCACATCTGGACATAGTTGGGGCTTCCAGCACCTGCCAACCCCCGCCTCCAGGTTTCCAACATGGCACCTCAACTTCCCCCCCACCCTCTACCTACAGCAAGTCTACTACAACTTACACTCTTGGGTATTGGGGCTCAGGCGGGATGGCTCCTGACCCCTGAAGGGGCATGAGTGCTGTGGGGAGGGGAGTAACTGAGTGCACACACTCAGTACTAGTGGGGTGAGTGCACAGCACATGCCCACAGCATGCCTGGCTGGTCAATGTGGCGTCAGTTTCCCCATGGCTCAGTGCCACAGCTGCCTGGTGTCTTGCAGTGCCCTGCAGGAGCAGAAGGGCGAGCTGCGCAAGCGGCTGTCCTACACCACGCATAAGCTGGAGAAGCTGGAGACGGAGTTTGGCTCCACTCGTCACTACCTGGAGATTGAGCTGCGGCGGGCTCAGGAGGAGCTGGACAAAGTCACGGAGAAGCTGCGCAAGTAAGGGCGGGGCTGCGATGGGAGGGGGAGAAGCTAGCTCATCGCAGAGTCAGCTCTGGGGATATTTGGCAGACGGAGAGCAGAGCAGCCTACCCAGGGCTTGAACCTGCGGCCCACTGACGATGCCATTGGCAGACTCTTTCATGCCCTCTTCCAGACCTGGCTTCTCACCGCCTCATACCTGTACCGCTCTGACATTGAACGAGCCAACAGCAGCACAGGAGGGGCCACTTACAGACCCCACCCCACTGGCCACAAAAGCTCATAAGATGAACCTGAAAGTAGAAGCTGCATCTTGAGTGGCTTGTTGGGGGGGTGGGGGGGGGACTCAAGATGCATTGAGAGGAGGACCAGATTCTTAGGATATTTTCCTTCTGGCATTTATTTTTCTAAACCCTATTGTGGGTATCCCCAGCTTAGAAATACAAACAGGATGCAGGCTGCTGCTGTTGGCTGAGTTTGTTTTAAGTCCTTAGAGAAGCAGCTGGCATTGTCGCTAGGGCAGCTTGTCCCTCTTTGAATGGCCCCATTCTTCTGAGCTTTTGAATATCACTACCAAGCCGTGTGGAAGCCAAACTTGGGCAGTGCAGCCAGACCTTGGTTAAAGTCCCAGCTCTGCCATTTAACTGCATTAAGCATCTTTTTGTGTCCCTTTCCCATTGGCAAGACAGCAATGGTACCACAAAGGTTGTCTAGAGGACACGCGGCCACCACGTCCAGTCCCCCAGCCACCAGCAATAGAAACCCAAAGCACTCCATCTCTACCTGCTTGGTTCCGGCACTCATCCCAGGGCCACACATGCGTCTCCTGGTGTGCAGTTGACCTGTAAGCTGCCCTGCCAGCGTCTAGGACCTGAGCACAGCTCTGACAGGTTCTCGTGCACATAGGCCTCCCTGTGTTTCTTCCAAGGAGCCCCACTGTGTCGGGGAAGAACCGTGTGGCTTTGGCCATGGCCTAGGAGAAACCCTGACAAAAGTTAGCTTTAATCGGATCTTCAGGGCAGACATTGAATTGGGTAGAGCTGGTGGGACAAGCTTGGGTGAGCTGACAGCCATGTTAAGCAGGGTGTGATGGCCGTGAGGTTACTGGGGTTGTAGAAGATCAGGCTTTGCCAGTCATGACCCTGTTGCCTCCCGCTGCAGGATTCAGAGCAACTACTTGGCACTGCAGCGGATCAACCAAGAGCTGGAGGATAAGCTGTACCGGATGGTGAGGCCCCAACGCACACTGTCCCCTCACTCAGTACCCCCTTGTGGGAGATGCTGTCAGAATAAAACTGAGTTGGGGTCTAGGGAAGCCAAGCCTGTGCAGGCAGCACAGAGAATGGCCACGGGGTTCTAGTACCTCCCCAACACTTGTTCTTGTTCAGTGAAAGGTGTTCAATTCCTGCCTGTCTCCAAGCCGAGATCTAAAGGTAGGGCCTGGGTGGTGCTGAATGTCACTCTCCCAGCTTATTGAGTGAGATGGGCAAAGCAAGCCATACTCCCACCCCAAGAGCAGGGCATTCGGAGCAAGTAACTGAGGCTCAGGGAAGGGCTGGCCTAGGCTAATCTAGCTCAACATTAGTGGGATGGGGTTAAGCCTGGCTGAGTCTGTTGTCTTAACTCCCACACCATCGTTAGCGTTTCAAGCTCCTTTCATCAACAGCTGTTGGGCTCACAAAAGCCCTGGTCCAACAGCTGGGCTTTAGCACTAACCACTGACCCCTCCTCCCTCTGTCCCCTTGACCCAGGGCCAGCACTATGAGGAAGAGAAGCGTGCGATGAACCATGAGATTGTCGCCCTCAACAGCCACCTGCTGGAGGCCAAGGTGACCATTGACAAGCTGTCAGAGGACAACGTAAGTGCCGTGTGCATTTGGCCCCTGGGGGAACGGGGCAGTGAGGGCTTGGAGAAGTGCCCGGGGCACCTGAGAAAGGATAGACTCCCTCGACGGAGAGACTGAAGATGGGATACAGAGAGGCCGTCCGTCCCATCCGCAAAGACTTTTGACTTCAGCCAGGCCCAGTATCACACTGCAGCTGTGTGGTTATGCAAAGGGGCCCCATGAGCTAGCCAGCTGCCTCCCACTGTCCCCCGTGGGCTGACCGTGGGCAGACTAATTAGCCTCTGCTCCTCTGCCACAAGATCGAATGAAGTTCTGAGATGATGATCTGACCAATGGCTGCCCTTGTGGATTTTAAGTTCATATAGGGAAAGTAGACAGAAAATTGGGCAGTCAACAGCTTGAGTAGCCTGCTAGAAGGGTTACGTGCCCAGCTAAGTGTGATGGTGGCAGTTTCTTTTAGTTCTACTAGATCGTGTCACTTAGGAAGGATCTGAAGACTAAGCACTCAGTGGCCAGGTAGCCTGGGCCCTTTCCCAGAGTAGGGCAGGGAGATCCTACGCACACACAGCTCAAACAAGGAGCCTGGCTGTAATGTGCAAGGTCACCTATTTCTCCTAGAGGCGTCCCCTACTCACTGTGGCTGACCTGGGCTGGTTGGGCAATGCCCACAGCCTTCTGGTTCCCATGACAACTGCTGTGGGGGTCTCCTGGGGGATGACTTTCAATTCTGTTCCTAGGAAGTTCAGGGGGAGTTGAGAGGGACTGTGAGACCCATTTCCCTCCCCTGTGAAGATCTGGTGCAGAGGTGGGATGGGAGAGGGTTGCCCAGGACACTGGTCCTGGTTGAGCAAGGCTGTGGCAGTAGTCCTGGATCTCCTGGGCAATGCAGGTGGGTCCTAGGGCAGCTGTGCTTTCTGAAGAGCAGGAAGGAACAGCCCAACACAGGCACATACAACAGAGATTTATTTCCAAAGGCGAAATTCCTACTGTTTGCATCTGTTTTCAGCTCAGGAGTCTGAGCAGGGTCTCTCCTGCACCTGGGGTCACACACTTAGGCTGACCCTGGCCCAGACTGGGCAATCAGCCCCAAGGCCTGGCAATCCCGTGAAGTGGGTTGAGCACAAGTGGGAGGCCAGCATGGGGTTCATCCCTGTGTCTGACTTGTGCCCAGCACTCCCACAAAGTCATCTTTGGAGAGATTCCAGGAGTTAGAGGAACAGGAAACCCAACCTCTGGGAGCTCAGGACTAGTGGAGCCACCTGTTGCTGCCCCAGCCTGTGGAGGGCCCATGCTGACAGGGAATTCTTCACACACCGGCGACTCCGCAAGAATGTGGGACCTGGACAGGGACTAGCCAGAACTAACCGTCCTGCCAGCTCTGCTCTCCCCTCCCATCGCCTTGCTGGCACCGGGCACTGACCAGGGCGGTTGGGCCAAACACCTTCTCTTGTCTTCCAGGAGCTCTATAGGAAGGACTGCAATCTAGCGGCCCAGCTGCTGCAGTGCAGCCAGACCTACGGCAGGGTCCATAAGGTGTCCGAGGTAACGTGGCCCCGCCCCACAGCCAGGCCCGCCCCGTCCCAGGACCACCCGGCTCCTTTTGGGCCACCCCACCCCGAAGCCTCTCCCCACCCTCCAAGAAGAAGCTGCCGGGTGAGCCTGAACCCTCGTCCCTCGTGCACCTGGGTCCTGGCTTCCTGATGGTGAAAGGTGCCCCTGACACTGTACTTCCCAGGGCCACCCTAAACCACTTGGGCTACACACCTGTTTCCTTCGGGGGCTGCACAATTAGAGACAGGCCCATACCAGAGATTAAAAAAAAAAATAGGCATCAAGGAAAGGGCACACATTGAAGGCACACAGAGTGAGCTGGCAGCAGAGCCCAAGTTAGTCCTAGGTTGCCTGGTACCAACCATCCTGGCCAGCCTATCCCTCCCAGCCCACATGCACAAGAAATCTCCTACCCAGGCTCCTTCCCGTGTCCCCTTTCCCCAGGCATGGCCAAACCTGCAACACTCACAAAATAGATCAAACAGCAGCCCTCCCCCCCACACACACACATATCCATACACCTGCCACCAGGCACCCCATGGAAACCTTTGGTGCCTGGCACTGGCCCCTCCAATCTTTGTTGCATCTTTGTTCTGAGTCTGTCTCATTCAGCAGTCCACGGGATGGGCGCGGCAGGGGAGAGACAGGACACGACACAGACACTGTGGGCCAGCAAGAACAAGTCACACCTCACGAGGCAGGACCCAGAAAGGGTGCCAGATAGTAGCCTAGCCAACTCTGCTCGACCCATTGGAGTAGGGTGGGTGGGTAGAGGTGATGGGGAACCTCAGGTGCTGAGGACATCCTTGTCCTTGGAGGTTAAGCTGGCTCCCACTGATGTGATGTGAGCCACCTGGGGGTGGGGGACTGTCTGCTGTCTGTCTGTGTCTCTGTCTGTCGGTGATGCTGGTGTGGCCCTGGCCTCGAGCCAGGGCTGAGCTGTTTTGCTGACTATGACCTTTCTCCACTCTCCTCTCCTCCGTGCCCGTTCCAGCTGCCCTCGGACTTCCAGCAGCGTGTGAGCCTGCACATGGAGAAGCATGACTGCAGCCTGCCTTCCTCACTCTGCCATTCGGCCTACGCTGACAGCGTGCCCACCTGCGTCATCGCCAAGGTGCTGGAGAAGCCAGACCCTGGTAGTCTGTCCTCGCACCTGTCTGAAGCCTCTGCTCGCGACCTGGGCTACCGCGACGGAATGGAGAAGTCTGGCTCACGACCCCAGTACAAGGAAGACATCTACTGCAGCGACACAGCTCTCTACTGCCCTGATGAGCATGAGCGCCAGCGCCAGCGTGACCGGCGTCCCAGCGTCGACACGTCCGTGACCGATGTGGGCTTCCTGCGTGCGCAAAATTCCACCGACAGCGCCGCAGAGGAGGAGGAAGCCGAGGCTGCGGCCTTTCCCGAGGCCTACCGCCACGATGCCTTCCCGGGCTACGCGGCCTCGCTGCCCACCTCCAGCTCCTACTCCAGCTTCAGCGCCACGTCCGAGGAGAAGGAGCACGCGCAGGCCAGCACGCTGACCGCCTCGCAGCAGGCCATCTACCTGAATAGCCGCGACGAGCTCTTCAACCGCAAGCCGCCCTCTGCCACCTATGGGAGCAGCTCTCGCTATGGCAAGGCCGCGGCCACCCTGGCCTCCCCGCTCGAGGCCCAGGTAGCCCCAGGCTTTGCTCGGACAGTGTCTCCGTACCAGGCCGAGTCCTACCGCTACTCGCCCTCCGCAGATAGCCCGCAGACTGCTATGCCTCCAAACCTGTGGAACCTGAGGGCCAAGCCAACCGGTAATCGTTTTGCCGGAGGAGACATTCGAGGCCATTGGCGCCCCCTGAGCGTGGAGGATGTCGGCGCCTACAACTACCAGGCTGGCCACGCAGGCCGTGCCTCGCCCTGCAACTTCGGAGAACGTTTCTATGGCGCTGGCCGTGGCCACGGCCGCCGCGGCCCTGGTAGGAGCCACAGCAACCATGCTGAGGGCCGTGCCAGCCCCCTGTATGCCTCCTACAAGGCTGATAGTTTCTCGGAGGGCGATGACCTCTCCCAGGGTCATCTGGCAGAGCCCTGCTTCCTCCGTGCAGGTGGCGATCTGAGCCTGAGCCCTAGCCGTTCAGTTGACGCTGGCTATGCAGCCAGTGAGGGGGATGGGGATAGGCTCGGGGTGCAGCTGTGTGGGGCTGTCAGCAGCCCCGAGCCCGAGCATGGTTCCCGGGATTCCTTGGAGCCAAGCTCCATGGAAGCCTCTCCTGAAATACACCCTGGCAGTCGTCTCAGCCCCCAGCGGGCCTACCCCAGGACTGGAGGTTCTGGGCTTAGTCGTAAGGACAGTCTGACTAAGGCCCAGCTCTACGGAACCCTGCTCAACTGACTGCCACCAGTAAACTGCAGTCAGGGGCCCCCACCAAACCTGCCCCATATAGAGAGTAGTCAGCCCCCACGTGACCAAACCCAACCGAGGAACTCTAGTTCCTCTGACCCTCTTACCAACAACCCAGTAAAAACCCAAGAAGACAACCCTCTCTGCCACCGTGGTGTTCACCCCTAGCCTCTGCTACAAACTCCACCCAGAACATTTACGCAGTGCGCCCTGCCCTGAAGTGAGCATCCCCCGTTTTGTAAGTGAAGCTATTTTTATAGGGAAAAGGATGTTTCTTCCTGTGCTTGCCTCCAGCTCCTTCATTTCCAGTGAGGGTGTGTGGGGCCTGCCCCAGGGAAGGGGAGGCTGGGGCCCTAGGGAGACCAGTCTCCACATGTGGGGAGAAGCTAGCAAGCCAGCAACAAGGGAATGCTGATATTCTGTCCACTAAGGAGGGGAAACAGCCACTCAGGGCGCAGAAATCATCTTAAGCACCCATCTCACAGTGCAACCAACACTCTGCCCTGATCTACCCTGAGCTCGTCCCATGGCCTGGCCTGTAGGCCCAAGAGAGGCCAGAGATACCCCCTAGAATAGCCGGTGCTTGGTCCTCCTCTTCCCCTCCCAACACCACCCGACTCTACCTCCTCCGACATGAGGTTTCTCCCACCCCACCCCGCCCCGTGAACCTGTACTGTGTGATGCATGCCGTCTACTAGTGCTGTAGTTCAGACTCCTCAATAAAGCACAGCAGTGAAAAAGAATTCAGCTTCGTGGTTTTTTTTTTTCTCCTTGGCGTCGACCAGTTAACCAGAAGCAGGGATCTGGTGTCCCTCGCCTGTTCCCCACCTTGCAGCCAGCCCTCCCTGGCCCAGTATCCAAGCCTGCCCTGTCCACTGGGCAGCTCAGTATTTCAGCGTCCTCTGGCGTTGTCCCTGGCACTCTCAGCTGCTTCCTGCTCCCCCAGATGGCCCCCCTTTGAGGCAGCCTCTCAAGGGTTGCCATGGCTCTCCTGGAGGCAAGGTCCACTCTTCTGTTCTGCAATGTCTTGACAGTCGCCCTGATGTTAGCCATCTCTGCTTCCCTCAGCTCCTGGCTTCTTGGGAAAATGTGGAGCTCCTGTTTTGGTTATGTCTTGCTCTCTCTAGCTGGACACAACCTTCTCTTTGACTTGGCTGTGTTTTCCCTAGGGTGTGACTCTGTGGGGTTCCTCCTTAGAACTCTCAGGGTTCATCAGTTCTGGAAAACCCCAGATCATTCTTTTAAAAAACCTGCCCATCCCTCCCTCTCCAGCTCTGTCCTCTGGTCACACTGTGTGTGTCCCTCCTTTGACTCACGCTGCAGGGGTCTGCACAGTTTACCGTGTAGCTCATGCACTCCTGTGTCCACTCAACTGCCAGAGGCACTGCGTTCCCATTCCAGCTGCCAATCACTGCCATGTCCAGGTACCGTTCGGGTGGTATGGAGGCTCTGTGCTCTCATCCAGTTTCCTGTTCCTCAGAGTTCCTTTCAAGCTCACCCCTATTTCTGTAAAGCCAGTGGCCATTCCAAAGTCGGGGTCTGGCACTTCTACTACATAGACTCTGTGGATCTGTCTTTGCTTCCTGTCCATGTTGCCCTGTTTCTTTGTGTGCCTGGTTATTTGACACATATTCATTCAACCCTTGGAAATGCATTGTGGGGTTTTCTACAAAGCCTAGGACGGTGACTCCTTTTCGAAGAAGAGATGGGCTTTTCATCTGCTTCCTGTCGACACTCAGGCCTTTCCTGTTGAGAGCTATTTCATCCCACCCATCCCCTGCAGTTCCCAGGTGCCTCCCTGACAGGCGCAGCCCTGGAACTAGTAGTTCTAGATCCTCTGTGCCTATACCATAGAGAACAGTTGCTCCTGGCAGTACTCATACACCCAGGTTGCCAGGTGAGTCCCGATAGGGGCCCCCTCATTCACAGGCCATCCTCTCTGGAGTCCACTCAGACCTGCCTAGTCTTCAGTGATGCCCATCTGTGTGCTCAACCCCTGCAAACTTTCCATGCCCCACCCCCTTGAGCCCCAAGGGCAGTCAGTATGTGACTATGCTCCCACTGGTTGGCTATCACCAGAGGTAGGTCTCACTTTCCCCTTCTGCAGCCTGAGGACACTGGTCCTTTCCGGGGGGCCTTCGAGACAGTTGGCACACTCTGTATGGAGTCCAGCTGGTTTGGGAGAATAGAACCATTTGGGGAGGCAGTAAAATGAGTCAAGGGTACAGGCTTCAGGGACGGGTGGTTCCAGCATGTCTTTGTGCCCTTGGAACAGAGGCTTCCTCAGCAGGAGACCAGGGGTCATGGCCATGCTGTGGGGGGCTGCATGCTAGTGACACTCAGATGACAGTAACAACTTGACTCGGTGGACAAGCCAGCAGCAGATACAGCCTGTGGAGGCCTCTCTAGACAGGGCTGCTTTCCTCCCTGGGCACCTCTGATCTCAGGTTGCAGATGCAAAAGTGGGATGGGGTGAGTTCGGCCCAGGAGGGTAGGTGGAGGGAGAACCCACACTCCAGGTTCATCCAGCTCTGTGCTTTCCAAATTTAGCTTTCCTATTTTTAAATTGCAAATGGTGAACTCCCGACACCTCAGCTGGGATCAAAGTCAATCTCTGAATGTTCTTTGCAAGAAGACATTTGAAGAAAGAAGGGGAAGCGGGGGACACACCTGCTCTCCTGCCCAGAAGCATGGGGCACCAGCGTTGACAGGCAAAAAGCAAACACTAGGGATGGCACCATGAAACAACCACAACGGGACTCCTGGAGACCCTCACTGGTCCCCTGGACCTGAGTCAGAGCATGGAGGATTCAGATGCTGTCTGCCTGTCCTAGTGGCACCAACAGGGTGAGTCTATAGAACTCTGTCCTCTCCCCTCTGTCCCAGCAGGCCTGTGGACCTGAGAAAGCAGAGGGTCAGAGAAGCAAATCCCACAGCATTAGGGGGCGGGCCCAGAGTCTGATCAGGGCACTATGGGCAGGAGGGGGCTGGGCACTGAGGTAGACAAGGAAGCCCTCTATAACCACCTGCTAGCCCTCCTGGAAAAGCCTGATGACCAGAGCCAATCAGGGATGACGCCAACACTGCAGTGGGGAAAGTGATCAGAAGATAACCCTGGGGTAGAGAGAAGCTTTGGGATGACAGCTGCCCAGGTGGAGAGCACTGAGATGCTGGAGGAGGCTGGGAGAGGCGGGGGGGGGGGGGGGGGGGGGGGGGGGGGGGGGCGGGGGGGGGGGGGGGGGGGGGGGGGGGGGGGGGGGGGGGAGCACTGGGGGGGGGTGGGGGAGCACTGGGAGAGGCTGGGGAGCACTGGGAGAGGCTGGGGGAGCACTGGGGGAGGCTGGGGGAGCACTGGGAGAGGCTGGGGAGCACTGGGAGAGGCCCCTGGGGGAGGCTGGGGGAGGCTGGCCTACTACATTCTAGTTCATTCAGGGAGACACTCATGAAGACACCCTCAGGGGCCCTGAGGTCTTCGTGGAGCACATCAGTCCTCTGGCTCATGCTGGGAGCTACTGATCACAGCTCCCCATCTGCCTTGGCAAGGAGTCCTAGTCCAGCAGGGCTCGAGACAGAAGCCAGCTGATCTAAAGCTCCCAGGAGTTCATCACGTGGGAAGGAAGGAAGGAAGGAAGCCACCTCCTGCCAGTATCCTCCGATAGGATTGAATCTGGACCTTGCTAAGGCCTGAACGCAAGAGGGAGAGCAACAGTGAGAGAGGGTGCCACCAGCCCTCAGCTACCACCGCAGAACCTTAGAATGGGACCTGGCCCTGGGTGCCACCAGCCCTCAGCTACCACCGCAGAACCTTAGAATGGGACCTGGCCCTGGCATCCACCTGAACAGGCTGGGTTCCACACGACAGACTCAAATATCCTGAGTGCCCACTGCACACAGGAGGGGAAACTGAGGCACTGTTTCCCTAACCACACAGATTCCCTAAGGTCCCACAGTAATGAAGGAAACACAGGGCAGACTTCAAATCTGGGCCTGACAGGCTATGTAGCAGTTATTCATTGCATGCTTACTTGCCAGGGACACAGCAGGACACGAAGCTCTGCCCAGGGAGCTTACTCCATACCTGATGTCAGTCACACAGGACAGCCCTACTTATGGGGGAAGGACAGTATCTAGGCCAAGATGGTGGGTACAATGGCCCTGAGGCACCCAAGCACAGAGGCGGTAGCCATCAGCTTGGAGAGAGGAAACTGAGCTGACCTATTGCAGCAGCAAGGACATGGGGGCTTCAGGACAAGCCCCAGCGCAGGGCTCTGACTTGCTTTACCCTGGTGGAAATGGCCCCCCAATGCCTTGGATACTAGAATAAATGCCCTTACACAGCATCCCTGAGCCAGGCTGGCTTAGACTTGGGCTCACTATGCCCAACATTCTTCCAGCTCCCCAACACATCTGCAGGCCAGCTCTCCTGACTTCTGGTCTCACAGATGAGGAACTGGGGCACAGAGGGAAGGAGGCAGGTCTTGCCTGGGACTAAACTGTAGAATGGAGTAAGGTGTGAAGCCGTACGCACTCTGTCAAGTCCCAGGCCCTCTCCTGTCCTCCCTCACCCCATCCTGTAAGTGAGTCCCCGGGCCATCAGGCAGTCTCTCAGTTACAATTCTAGCAGTGTTTGAGATTCATGGGCCTGCCCAGGACCCTAAGGATCTAGGCTTCCTGTCTTAGTCGCTGTTCTATTGCTGTAAAGAGATACCATGACCATGGCAATTCTTACAAAAGAAAGCATTTAACTGGGGCTTGCTTACAGTTTCAGAGATTTATTTAGTCCATTGTCAACAAGGCAGAAAGCATGGAAGCATGCAAGTAGACATGGTTCTGGAACAGTAGCTAAGAGTTCTATATCCTGATCTGAAGGCAGAGAGAGAGAGAGAGAGAGAGAGGAGAGGAGAGGAGAGGAGAGGAGAGGAGAGGAGAGGAGAGGAGAGGAGAGGAGAGGAGAGGAGAGGAGAGGAGAGGAGAGGAGAGGAGAGGAGACTAGTTCTAGCATGGACTTTTGAAATCTCAAAGCCCACCCCCAGTGACACCCTTCCTCCAACAAGGCCATACCTCCTAATCCTTCTAATCCCTTCAAGCAGTTTCACTCTCTGGTGACTAAGTACAGGAGCCCTTGGGAGTTTCTTACACAAACCACCACATTTCCCAACCCAGCCCAGTCAGTCCCTGAAGTGACTTCTAGGACCCTGCTTCTCCTCATCACCCTTTCCAGGACAGACACATGGCTGTGGCCAGCACAGACCACACACCTTGGCATTGGCAAGCAGCAGGGTAGAGGGCCAGAGAGGACCAGAGTGGAGCAGGAACACAGCTTTGGTGTCTAGTAAGAGCAGGTGAGTGGCAGGGCCCTGTGGAGCTCCTGCACAGAGTTCCTGAGCACCTGGAAGACCCAGAGACCCACTATTCTGAGGATAACACTCTCAGGACCAGAAGTGACAGTCCCATCTCAAGCTCCCCTACCTGCCGTAGGAAGGCAACAGGAAGTGGCTATGTGTTTATTTCCAAATCATATTAAGAAAAACTACAGAGTACACACTGATTGGTTGGGCACCACCAGCCATTTGGCAAATGCCTTTACTAAGCAGCCCTTACATCCTGAGATACTTCTCACCCCCCTTTTACAGACAAGTCACTGAGACCCAGTGTGGGGGCAGCCCCTGCAGCCAACTTCAGAGTCACCAACCCAGGGGCAGGGTCTCAGTTGCCAGTTAGTGCCAGATCTTGATGTCTCCTCCCCAGGAGCAGGTGCCAAGGACAGAAGGTAGCACGGGGTGGTAGGTGGTGCCAAGGCAGGCCTGAGCATGCCCTTGTATCGTACACGCCCGGCTGGCAGTGCGGAAGCTGAACATCAGAATCCGGCCATCGGCGCTGCCTGTTACCAGCAGGTCACCACATGGGGAGCACTCGCAGCCCACAGCGTAGCCTTCCACCTGTGGAGAAAGACAGAGAAGGTAACCTGTGAGGTGGCAGCTATGACCCCACACTACAAAGGGTGAGCTGAGGCCGAGAAGCTGCCAGCATAGCGTTCAGGGTTGGCTTTACACCTAGTGATCTTGAGGCCAAAGGCTGAGCTCCTGCTATAAGCCTATAGGTTGGTGAGGTGACCTGTATCCCAGGCTCACTAGCCCCAGCAGTCATGTCAAGCCTGTGGCCCATGGGCTGCAGGTCTCCAGTAGATGAATGCCCAACACAAACTGCAAACTTACTTAAAACAGTATGTGCATTTTGTTATTGTAGCTCACCTGCACAGCATCCAAGTGTGAACTTCATAGATGACAACTAACAATGTCCTGGTAATGGAACCCAGATGCAGCAGCTTCTGCAGAGCTGGGGTTTGACACCAAGTACTAAGTGAATCCCCAGCCTCTTCCAGGCCAGCAAAGTGGGCCTCAGGCAGGAAAGGGGTACACAGAGAAATGGCTCCCAAGTCTGTCCTACCCTGTTCCTGTCCCCACCCCATCATAGGTAAACTGACATGCTCTCCTGCCTGTAGCTGGGCATGTGGCCTGGGCCCTGAGTGGACCCTCATTCACACAGCCAAAGCCATCCACTTCAGCAGCAGACATCCCAGAGGGTCTACATGCCCTGGAGTCCTGGGCATACCTGGCTGGAAGTTTTGGGACCAATGGTCAGCATTTGACCTAGGTAACAAAGATGGGGGTACCTTGTGCCCTTCATAGCGCCGCCGTCTGCTCATCCGGTAGGGCCACACAGAGGAGAAGAGAGCCAGGTAGTTGCCATTGGTTTGTGCCAGGAAGACCGGCTCCCTCGGATGCAAGGCCAGGCTGGGGCAGGTGTACCTCTCCTGAGAAAGCAGGACCACGGAGGGATGAAGGCTACCACGGTGGGGTTTCTGCCTCCCACAGATCGCCACCCAGCCTGCACTCTGCTCTTGGGGTTTTGTCCCTTTCTCCTGGGCCTTGGCTTGGGAGTCTTTATGGGTTGCTGTTGCTGTATCAAGTTATATACACTCAGAGCTTGAAAACAATGCAACTGCCCTATCCTGATGCTCTGCAGTCTAAAGTGGAGCTCAGTGGGCTAACCCAGTGTTAACACGCTGCCCCTTCTTCAGGGTGCTGAAGAAGGTCTCACTTTGTAGCCCTGGCTGGCCTGGAACTTAATGTCTAGACCAGGCCAGTCTCAAACTCAAGAAGACTGGCCTGCCTCTGCCTCCTGAGCGCTGAGATTGAAGGTATGTACTACCATACCCAGCTCTAAGACTGTCCTTAAGCCACCATCTTGAAAGTATCCCAACAGAGCAAGCAGCTCTCTGGGAGCAGCTGGATCTTGATGCCCACTGAAACAGCAGGTGATAGGCTGGTGTCCTGTGAGGTACTTCAGTAAAGCACTCACTCAGCCCCAAGCACGTGGAGGCGGAGTAGAGGCAGAGGGAGACCAGCAGCACACTCGCCTGCCTGGCACCTCATCTCTGCCAGGCTCAAAGAGGTAGTCTCAAAGTCAGCTTGCTCAGGTTCGCTCAGAACCCACTGAGTGGAAGGACAAGGCAGGGAGGAGAAGAAGGTCTGTATGAACTCATGGTCACACCTAAGACCAGGGGCAGGGCACTCAAGAGATCAGGAACAGTTTACTGTCACGAAAAGACGGTAATGTGAGCACAGGTGGTGATGGTAGTGACCACCACAACGGTGATGGAGATGGTGGTGGCGGTGGTGGTAATGACTGGTGATGGTGATGGTGGAGGAGATGGTGGTTTTGATGATCAGTGATGGTGATGGAGATGGTGGTGGTGATGATCAGTAATGGAGATTATGGTGGAGATGGTGATGGTGGCAACCAGTGATGGTGATGGTGGTGGAGATGGTGGTGGAAATCAGTGATGGTGATGGTGGTAGAGATGGTGGTGGTGGTAGTGATGGTTGTGGAGGTAATGATTATAGTGACGGTAATGGTGGTGGTGGTGGCAGAGAAGGTGATGCTGATCATGACAATGTGAGGATGGCAGTGACCACAGACATGATAATGATGGTGATGGTGATCACAGTAATGGTAATATTGGTGATAAAGGTGGTGGTGGCAGTGGTGACCACTGCAATGGTGATGTTGGCAGTAATGATGGTGTTGGGTTGGTCACAACTATTATGGAGGACTCTCTGTGTCCAGCACTGTTAGATCTTTATAAGCATTTTCTCCCTGAAGTTCTTGGTACTCTGTGAGGTGAGTATTAGGGTGGCTGAACCAGAAAGGGCAGTCTACAGGGGCTATCACTGTGTGCAGACCTGGGCCTGACCTATGCCTACCTTTACCCTAGATATTTCAAATAGCTGATCTCCTCCTCCCCTAGACAGAGAGGGGTCCAGGACCCCAGCCCAGGGCTACAGGAATATCCCCCACTGTTGACACCAAGAACAATTCTACACAGGGCTTCTCACATGGAAAATTTGGTTCGATATTTTGGCAGCAGTCCGGAAATCCCAGGCAATAATGGTTCGGTCAGCTGAGTCTCGAGTGGATGCGTCAGTGCTGCTCAGGAACTCAGACCCTTCTTGGAGGAAGAGGATGTCCAGCGTCTGCTGGATGGTTGCCTTATAGCCTTTCACCACCTACAAGAAAGAGCACTAGTCACCATGGTGGGCCTGGAAGAGTCAAACAGACTTACCAAGTACCGGGCAAGGGCAGAATCAATAAAAATACACTAGGCCATGCACACATGTGGTTTCATAGGGTTTTCCAACTTCACCAGGACAATGCCTATCGCTCTTTGGAGCGACTGGCCTCCAGATGCAAGCTGACCGCTGGTTATGTCCACCCCACCTCTATCAGTACACGGGTGGGTCCTGGGATGGCAGGGTCCCTCAGCAGCAGCTGTACACAATGAAGTCACATTAGGTACAGGGCTCCCACCTTGCCCTAGGTGCAGAAGGGAAGAGTGACATCCAGTGATAATGGTGTTATATTTCTGAAAGGGCCTGAAGGTGTCATACAGCTCACAGACAGCTACAAAGCCTGGACGACCTACTGTCCCTGGATGACACACGGAGCAAGCATTCTTAGAGACAGAAAATTACATCAGCATCTCAAATCTCAGAATGCATTTTACTTTTTGTTTGTTTGTTTGTTTGTTTCCTGGAACTCACTCTGTAGACCAGGCTGGCCTCCAACTCAGAGATCTGCCTGTCTCTGCCTCCTGAGTGTTGGGATTAAAGGTGCATGCCACCACTGCTGGGCAGAATTTATTTTACTTTTATAGACATGCTTTATGTTCTGGGACCCAGTACAAAGACTCAAACAAAGCGCCTGTACTGAATGGGCTCTCAGGTGGCACGGTGCCAAGTACAACACTGAGAAGACCACCCACTGCGGTCTGGACGGGAAGCACAGACAGGACTCCAGCTGCCCCTAGGACTGGCCACGGGAGTTATTAGCTCCCTGGGCACTGCCGTGTGGCTACAGCAGAATCACAGTTCTCAGACCATCTGCTCCACTGGCTACCAAATGAGCAGTAGTCACACAAGCAGGTGAGGCCAAGCTTCTCCCATCCTGGCTGCTCCCCTGGGGCCCATGACTGGGTAGTCCGTTGGCCAGTTCCTGCTTCTGTAAGTTCCTAGGGACAGACATGGGCAACAAACGATTTGGCCTCTTTACAAGCAGCGTTTTACTAAGAGAGAGGCCAGCCCTGCAGACCCATGAAGGCTAAGAGGTGCTTGCAGCAGCTCCTCAGACAGCAGGAGTTGCCTGCTGTCTTGCATGCCATCCCACATGCCCAGGATTCAAAAACACAGCCTCATAGCAGGGAAGAACTCCAGGCAGTCGGGGTCCACACTGCTGAGATACACCACAGACAGGTCAGAAGCTGGGACAGTACCTAGGACCCGGGAGAGTATAGAACATATCACAGTCCCCAGCACCTGCTCAGACAAGTTTACACAACATCCAGTGTTCAAGGGAAGAGCTGGCCACTGCAGCTGTTGCCGTCTGCTGGTGGGCAGAGGGGTCTAGAGCAAAGGGCTCCCCTTGAATCTGGGAGTCTCTCCCCTGGCTCTGCTCATCCCCTAAGCCAGAGCTCCTCAACATTCCTACTGCTGCACCCTTTAATATAGTTCCTCATGTTGTGGTGATCTCCAAATCATAAAATTATGTTTGTTGCTACTTCATAACTGTAATGTTGTGACTGTTATGAATTGTAATGTAAAATATCTGTGTTTTCCCATGGTCTCAGGTGACCCCTGTGAAAGGGTTGTTTAACCCCCAAAGGGGTTGAAATGCACAGGATGAAAACCGCTGCCCTAAAGTAGTTCAATCCCACACCCTAAAGCCCTTCTCATGTGTCACTTGGTCGCTCCATGGGTATGTTAGATCACATATATCCGCTCCCCCTTCTGCCTCTCTCCATCAGCAGCAGGCCAGGCTGCCAGGCAGTCAAGAGACAACAGGATGGAGATTAAATGCACAGTGAGAAACAGGTCTAGCCCAACACTGATCTTGGACATATCTCTGGAAGAGGCCCAAATATTTATCCCTGGCAAATACATGTCAGAGCCCTCCAGTACACAGAGAACAGTAGTGAGGAGGCACCATGTGTGCCTTGGGATACATGTGGCCTTAACATCATGCACTCTGCAGTCTCCTTGGGTTTGCTGAGTCAGGACAACATCCCAGAAGTGCCTTCTCTCAGGAAGACATACTCAGGGGCCACCAGTCACCCATGACTGAACTATCCGCACCTGTACCTCCCAGGGAAACTTTACCAGAACAAAAGGCCTACCTACATCTTCTCAGAATGGCCAGACATAGCCCAGTTCACTAGTGCATCATAAGAGCCAATGGATGGGAACCACGCTGTGGTATGGACGAACTCTGCCAATGAAGCACAGCTGTGGGCAGGAGGCTGGCCTTCGGCGTGCTCATCACCAAACGTGACAGACTCTCCTTCCCGCTGTGACGTGTCATCATTTGTGCAACTGGCTGGGGAGTTTTACGGCAACCTTGATTATTGCTCTGGCAGCTGGCACACCCTAGCCCAGGCATGGAGCCAAGGAGGAGACCCCCCCCCCCCAGCAACCGCAGGCCCACTGAAAAAGCCTGGCCTTGGGGGAAGTAGAGGACAGCTCATGCCATATCTGCACCCGCTGTGGCCACTCAGCCTGGGCTCCACTGTACTGTCGATGCTGACAAAGGCACAGTCTGCCTCTTTGGGGCCCTGGCTCTCTCAGACTGCGTGAGCTGCTACAGCAAGGGTCTGGCCCTGGCCCAGGTCTCTTCTCCCAGACTGTTTTATTTCCCCGATAACAGGCATATGGGCTTCTTCAAGAGCAAGAATGTGATAGTCTATACATGCCAGCTCTGGAGCATGTGTGCACTTGACTCTAAGATTTAAGGTAACATGGGTAAAAGGAGACAGTCACATGACCAAACTGTCTGCAGACTTTAAAGAAGCAACTAAACTTTTACACTGAGAAAAGAAAGGGAACTGTATGAATATGAGAAGGCAACACGGCTAGATTCCATCTACAAACCAGCCCTCGGGGACTTCCCAGCCACAGCTCTGGAGCTGGAGAGGTGAGAGGGAAGCCAGCGATACTGACCAAGTGGAAGAGTAACTCACACACCTCACTCACAGGCAGGAAGCGGCAGATAAATAATAAATGGGTAAAGGAGAGCCGAGCGGAGAGGCATTCTCACTGTGTGAGGTGCGAAGGTCACCATTGCAGCATCAGAAGCGGCTGCGGCAAGACGAGAGAGCCTGAGTTCCACAGGAGACGGTGAGAGGATGCATCTCATCAACAGGGAAATGGCTTTGACCTTGCTCCTAACAAGAACAATTTAAGCAAACTTAAATGTCATCCCTTGCTTATTAAATGAGCCAACTCCCAGAGTTTGACAGTACTTTTGCTGGGTGGTGTCAAGGTGCCGGACAGCTGTAAGCTGCTCGCAAAAATGCAGAAACTCGGCGAGGAGGAGCCGAGCAACATTACAGATGGGTGGTATTCTGCAGCCCACAGCCCGGCCCACCCACCACCACCCACCGTCTAAGAGCTGGCCGTAGAGCTGCACCAGCAAAGTGCCAAGATGTCAGCACTATGTCAGGACCGTGAAGAACCAGAAATAGCCCAGCACACACTGCAAAAGCACAGTGCCACGCCCATCACAATAGCAGGGAGCCTGCTTGCTGAAGCCATCTCCAGGGCTCCATGTTCAGAGCAGAGGTGGAGAGAATGTGCAGAGAGTGACAGGCAGGCGTGTGCGCTAGAGTTAGAGTCATTAGAACAGATCTGCAGTGTCAGCACTCCAGAGGTCCAGACAAGAGGAACTGGGATCTGAAACTCAGAGTCGTCCTTAGTATGTATTACCTGTAGAGAAAGGGGGGACAGCATGCGGGAGAGGGGGTTACCGGTAGAATTTGATGATTTCTCTAGGGGCTGGAGAAATAGCTCGGTGAGAGCTGAAATAGCAGTAAGAGCACTTACTGCTCTTCCTGAGGACCTGGGTGCCGTTCTCAGCACCCACATCAGCTCACAACCTTCTGTAACTCCAGCTCCAGGGGATCCAACACCCTCGCCTGGCCTCCCTGGGCACCTGCACACATGTAGTATACATACATAGATACATACAGATACACAGATAGATGTACACATACATACACACAACTTTAAAAAAAATAAAAAACCGGGCTGGAGAGATGGCTCAGTGGTTAAGAGCACTGTCTGCTCTTCTAGAGGTCCTGAGTTCAATTCCCAGCAACCACATGGTGGCTCCAAACCATCTGCAAAGAGATCTGGCACCCTCCTCTGGTGTATGGGTATAAATGGAGGCAGAAAGTTGTATACATAATAATAAATAAATCTTTTAAAAAAAATAAAAAAAAAATAAAAAAAAATAAAAAACCTTTTTTAAAAAAAGATCTTATTTTGCAGATTTTATCCATAAATAAGGATCACTGATTTTTATTTTGTTCGAAGGGGGGGGGGATAATAAATAGTTTAAGTTTTATGAACCATGTATAGTCACTGTTGCAATGTGTGTGTGTGTGTGTGTGTGTATACATATTAGAGTTGATTACAGGCATAAAACCCACTTTTAGCCCAGGGGGCATATAAAAACTGGTCACAGGCCAGATGGGGCCTGTATGTCTGGTTGCCAACCTTTTCTCTAGATTCATGGACATATTTTATTAAATTAAATTATACTACAAAATTAACTTAAAAAGCAATTTTTAAAATGTGAAGGCATAATTAAGCAAATCACATTAACCAAGTATTGATTTGGTAGGTTAGCCACACAAACAGGATTGCTTTTAAAAGGGTTTAAAGCACGACCATTTAATGCAGCTCCTTAGCTGAATACACATTATTAATGGAAAATCAGCAACCTGATGGGAGGTCCTAAATGGATGTACATTGTGAACCAAAAAGAAAACAACAACAACAAAAAAAAAAAACCTACAAGAAGGTGAGAGCAATTCCCAGCAACCACTGCTAATACCTAAAAGAAAAGTGTTGAGGTGAATCGAAGTAAAAAATTTCCCATAAAAAAAGTTTAAAATAAACACGGAAAGAAAAAGCCTGCAATCTTACAATTGCACTGGAAGTCAGTTGAGATTACA